ATCTCCGCCCTAAAGGTAGCCCCGATTATTGCTGACTTAAGCATCGGAGTGTCTACCCCGAGTTCCACCTCGGGGCTTTGCAGGTCGTTCCGGAGTGCAAGCGCGGACTGGAGAAGGACTTCGGGTTTGGTGCAATTACACCAAGTTTACTAAAATACCAAAAACTCCGGACTGGCAAATCTTGTATAGCACCATTTATCTGTATCAGGGCAAGCTTTTCTGTTCTGTACAGACTCTACTCCTACTACTTACTAAGACTGTTGTGCAGACCGTCATTCACAATTTATGTTCGTGGGGCATAAAACAAAACAAAACAAAAATCCACAAAATTGTTTAAGGGTTATACTAATCAACGCTTAGCAAATGAAAACCTTAACAATTGAAGTTTCCATGCAATTGACTACTCATCATCATCAGAAACTGCACCAGGATCCTTTTCATAATCTGATTGAACGACCAAGAAAAAAAGGTAGTCTAGCTAATAACATACGATTTTATATTTTGATTATCATCTACTAAAGGAATTAAGGATAGAAAATACATACCCTTAATCATTTCAAGTTCATCCAGCTCCTCTTAATCAAAAACAATTTGTCCCCTTTGCCTTAACCAATCTTGGGCACATGATACTAAACGAATTTTATATATAATATATAAAATATTATATATTCACATTATTTTGTAATGTGCAAAAAGAACGGGAGGTATAGGTAATGTTTATGTAAGGAAACGAGAGCCACCTCAATTAAAGATGTCCATTATTTGCTAATTCTTTCTTAGCTTCATTCTTTATTCTAATATTTTCATCATTAAATACTATATTATGTTTAAAGTGTCAATTCAACTTAATTACTCTATTTAATCTTAACTCTTTTGATGCCAATTTTGAATTGTAGAGCTTAATCAACATTTTTAATGTGTTTCAGAAATTGTTAAATTTGCTGCACAAGGCGTCGCATGTTGCCTTGTTGAAGTTAAATTGTCACCAACCGTGATGGATGTCTGAAAACAACTTACCAGTTGCTGGCTTGGGTGGGACTTGGGATGGGGAGCCGACTGATTTAGACACAGATAAATCTAAAGAAGTTTTGCAAAGTCGGGCAATTTGCATCACTCGTTACCAATGAATAAATAAATTTGATATGTGATTTGGAGTCTGAACTAACAAACCAACAGCAACAAGGCAGTCTTTCAATTATAGGGGCTGCCATTGACTGGTTGCTTGATGTAAAGATAAGTTAAAAAATATAGACATTTTACCAACTACCCCATTGAAGACGCCTAAAAAGAAAAGGATACCCCATTGAAGTTCTCAATAACTTTCACTACTGATATGACCTTAACAAGCTGTTGCATCACCCATGAACGGAAGTGATTTGAAATTTGATTTTGAGTTCACACCCATAACTTTACCATTATAATTGTTTTTTTCGCGTGCTTTTTGTGAAAATTGTTGTTCAGTGTATTTCTTGTATTATCTACTTTGATTTGGTAAAAAGTTAATTTTAAATTTTATATTAATAAAAATACTCCAATTAATTTCATATATTAAGATTTTTTAAAAGGTTCAAAATATCCTTAATACAAATTTCTATTTAGTATAATGGTTAAACTGTCGTTATTACCTTTTTTTTTTTGGCTGTCTTGAAATTGTCATAAATCAAACCTGAAAAAAGAGGAGATAAATGATCACTTTCTTTTTTATTTTTTCCGTCTAACTTCTTCCTTTCATATTTCATAATTGTAAAAAAAAATTTGTCACTTT